TGGTTTCCTGGTCAGTCTCTTCCTAAAAATCTGAGGATGAAAAATCAGCTAATGATTCTGGCAGATCAGCCTCCCACATGAATTTTGTTTGAGTCTGAATTCATGAACCAGGGATCTTTCCTTTGAACTTCATTTCCTCTCCAGAAATAGTTCAAAGCAGTTGGAGAACATGAATGCCAAAATCAAGCCTGAAAACCACCACAGCCTCACTTTAAAACACTTCATTTTCCTCCTGAGAGTTCTGCTGTTGCTTTCCATGGCTTGTCAAACAACCCCGTTCAGATTTAGCACAGAATCTGCTGTTCCCATTCATCACGAGTCTCAGGACTGAGGCACTCCAGCTGCTCCAGGGCTATACCCTTAAAAGTGATCTTGCTGTGATGTTACAACAGCCTGTTGTTGTGACCTTGGCTATTTTTGACAAAGAGATAAAGATGAAATAGGTTCTTGTTCCTAATGACAGCTTGTACAAAACATCCTTTCCAAGGAAAACTATGTTATCCATATGTATACCTTATGGATCAGGCTATGCCAGACAGCAGCACTATAATCTCTCTCCCCCAGGTGACACAGCAAGAAAAATGGTTTGGCTTTATTATGCCAACATCTCTTTAATTGCACTTTGGGAAAGTACTGTGTTTTCTCTCAAAACTAATAACAAATCAAACACTTTGAAAACCGCTTTATTTTTTCACTACAACCTCTGTGTTTGTTTACTTGGAAATCTCTCAACCTGGCACACGCAGTTTTGGAAGATTTTTGCTTTTAATTCGGGATTCTTGCCTGGAACTTTCTTTTTTCCTACCTGTTGCCCTTTTTTGAGAATGCCCTATTAACCAGAAAGATTTCTGTGACCTTCCTCACAATAAATAATGCTCATGAGAGTCAAATTGGTCTTCAATAAAATTACCTGATTAACATCTTGAAAGAAAGATCACCTTATTCCTCACAGGCCCGATGATTTCAATTAAAGCTTTGTATTAATTTCACTTAAGTTTTTTAGCTGTTCCTTCAAAACTAATTTAACAACCACCTAAATATTTAAACAGGTGAAAACCTTATCCTATTTGTGTAAGGATAAGCTTAAATTCTTTGCTGGATGGTGGCCTAAGGGCCTGTAAATACAGATGGCTGTGAGCAAGACCCAGAAGAGGCCAGGTAACCACCAACAGGCAATTATATGCCCCCCAGAACTTCAAGCCAGTATATCATATTGTTTGAAGCTAATTGCTTTGAAATAATTGGAAAGGTGAGCAGGTAAGTTCACACAGAGCATTTGCAATCTTGCTTTGTATTTAAAAAACCAACAGTCCAGATTGCATGGACAAAACAGGCATGATTCAATAAAACAAGTTAAAAGGGAAGGGGAAGGTATGCAGTAGTCTTTAAAAAGGATTTTCCTTTTAATTTTTAGCATCATTAAAATGCTGAAAACATTTTGTTCAAGAGCTTCTTTAGTTAATACCTCATTACTTCTCTTTTTATTGTTATGGTAATCAAGCCTTAATATATTGCAGCTTTATAGCATGAAATCAAGGCTAGGCCTGTGGGCATGGACAGATGTACAACAGCATGCAGTAAAACACAGGTACAGAGACATGCAGAGCTGAATATGGCACTGGGGTTTTTTATAATTGTTTAGCAATTCATCTGAAGTTATTTTAACCTTGACAACAGATGAACTCTAACATGTACCATGATCACTCACTGGAAAGCTGCACTGAAAAGCAAATTTTGTAACTGTTGTCTTACAGGCTGGGTTCTAGGAAAGCATGAAACCAAGTCTGAGCAAGATGATTAAATTGTTTGCATGACTACAGGCTGTAGCTGTAACTATTCAAAACATTTAATTGAGAATATTTTAGCCAAGGGAGAATGGTAATGCTGGGGAACTGCATTTTACACCAGGACTTTGCCTCTCTGTGGGAAATTGGGGCTCAGTGTCTGCATTCAGACCCTCTCCAGGCATGGGCACACCAAGAAAGAGGAATATTCGGGTCTGACTTGTGGTTCTGAAGTGAACTTGGACCTTGTGCTGGAGCTTTGCGAATGGTTGAATTTCACCCATCAAATCAAGTGAAAGTTAGAAATAACTTTTAGAAAGTTATAATGGCTGTGTCTGCAGGGTGTTGAAATTGTATCTCAGCAAGAGTGAGCATCCTTAGATCTTCCCCGAGTAAATGACAACACACGACCCCAGTGTCAGAGAGGCTCCCCCTCTCAGCGGCGCCTTCAGGAGACATCGCTCAGGAACCATTCCAGCTCCTGGGAGCTTTGCTAAATTTAAAGGGAGTGTTTTGGCTGGCAGTCCCTCTCCCAGTGAAAGCGCTTCAAACAGCCAACATGAAAAGCAATATGCCTGTGACTGCATCGAATCCCTGATCCTGAGGGATGCCTTGGGGAGTTCTCCAGCCCAGGGTTTGGGGTGGTACCATTGACCACCAGCCTGGCTTTGTCCCGAGCACACCCTGCAGGAACATCCCAAACAGCCTTTGGCACTGCAAACACGAGCCCTTCACTGGTTACCAACAGTCATGAAGGAGCAGAAAGAAACTAGGTACAGGTGACACATTATTCCAGTAGAAGTGAAAATTGTTTTCCACATTATAACTGGGTAACAGTAAAATATGATTAAACACATGGATCATGTAGCAGAAAAACATGGCTAACCTCAGTTAGGCAAAGCTTCCAGATTTCCCCTTTCTTGGAAATATTGGGAGTAACGATGTGCTGTATTCAGATGAAATCTGTTGCTTTAAACCTTTGAATTTAAACAAAGTCTCCTAACAATGAATAGTCCAGTCACCCAAATTTCTAGTGTCAAGCACAAAAGTGAGCAGCTCTCAGGTGCAGTAAATCTGACTTTCCCTCCTAGGAGCATTTCACTGGGCAGAGCCTGTGGGATCAGACCCTGGGACAGGAACACATGTTACCCAGCATATAACAAGGGGAATGAAAGACAATGGGCACTATAGGCCAGCAAACACACTAATTATATTAATAAAATGAAAGCTTAAATTTTGAAGCTAATCCTGGGCTATCATTTATAAAAGTTAACAGGGCATATTTAATTTAGGAATTGGCTAACACTTCTCTTTCCACCACTGAAACCTCATAAATGAAATATACTGGATCCCTGCCCAGTGCGGAAATAAAAGTTATGAATAATGTTTCTATCTCAATCATTGTCAGTGCTTTAATATTCCTAATTACTTTAAAAAGCTAAATATTCAATATAGGAAAAACCTTCTTTTTCTTTTATCTCCACTTGCAAGATTAGAGCAATTTAATAAGAGTCACTGGGTAGTTTTAGTCCACAAGACCATTCTGTATTTTGACATCTTATCCTTTCCTGGCCATTTTTACACAGAATGAAGGGCTTTTTACTCTATGAGTGCACATGTGTATAAATGTGTAATCTGTATCTGTACGTCCTTATTGTCATAGTCTTTTTATTATTATTATTTTTAACTTCTGTTAGTGCTCATGTACTGTACAAATACTCAGTAGTAGGATAAACTAAATCTAGTACTATGAATAATAAAAAACATTACATGAGTTCCTGAGAATCTATACAAAATCTCACAATTAATGTTGTGGGGTTTTAAAAATATTTTTAAAGAGAGATATTCAATATATCATGATGCCCAGTTTTCCCCTTGTCTGCATTCCAAGTAATCCCAAAATGTTGCTCCAAACCCCACAGTATGGCCTTTGTTTCCATCCTTGGAATCATATAATCCCAGAATGGTTTGGGCTGGAGGGACCTCACTGATCATCTCATCCCAATCCCTGCCATGGGCAGGGATGCCACCCCCACACCAGGTTACTCAGGACCCTGTCCACCTGCCCTTGAACACTCCCAGGGCTGGAGCATCCACATCCCCTCTGGACTAAAGTCCTTCCTCCCTGCTCCTTTCCTATTCCCTCTTTGCTGGAATATTCAGCACAGCTGCAGACAAACCCCCAGGAACCCATCCAGGAATCTGCCCCACTGCCTTCAGCCTCTGGTTGTGTTCACCCTCGGGCACATTTACCTCCCATTCCCTTCTAACTCCTCCCTCTATAGATCCCTCCTCTGTTACCTACTTCTTCTTAAGATCCCAATCAATTTGGGAGAGAGGGAGGAAGCCAACACAAAACAAAACACCCATTCAGTTTCACTTCACAGCACCTCTACCCATGCAGCTTTATTTACTTGCCTGATGCACAAATTGACTCCATTTATCAAGCTTATTCCTGCTTTGTCAATAATGTCTCAGGCCTGTGTTACGTCACACTCAGATGTTTGTGCTGCCTGCTCCATTCCAGCATGAACCAACCACTTCAACTCACCGTGCCCAATTAAGAGAGTTTAACAAACACAGCCTTGCCAGCTGAAAGAATTGAAAGCCTCAAGTGTGGATTAATTTCCTAGCAAAAGGTGCAGAACTCCCAACTCCCATTTCCCTGACTTTGGCAGTATGGATTTAAGGAATGGATTGTAAGTCAGAGGAGAGAATCTGGGCTGCCTGAAAAGTCAATGGCAAAACTCCCCCTGGCTTGAACAGGACAGAATTCTATCTGGAGAGAGTGCTTTCCAAACAGCTCCAACACTCCACAGAGTATTTCATGAAGAATGTGCTGTATTAAAGATTTGAGAGAGAAAAAATTCTTTATAGAGCTCTATTATCTGTACTGGTGTCCTAATAACAGGACCAAAAGCATTAACAGCATCCTCCACTGCATTTCACATTTCTTTGCAAAACACAACCAAAAAAGTCCAATGTCATTATCCTGGGAAAGGCTATTTTCACATATTCATAGAACCACAGAATGTTTGGGGTTGAAGGGACCTTAAAGGTCATTTTGTTCCAGCCCAATACAAACTTTTACAAAATAACCAGCAGACAACACTCATTTTTCCATTCAAATAATCCAAGTTCTAAGGCCATTGCTTTATAATACCTGGTTTTTAATAGCAACACATATTTTTATCATATTTTGGTATCTTTACTCACCACTTGAGCAATCAGTCCCTCCCCAGCCTGGTTCACAGTGACACGTGTCAGGAGAGACACATCTTCCATGCACACACTCCTCTGTGCACAGTGCTGTTGAGAGAAAACAACACACAGCATTGTAAACATATTAAGTGGTTGCTAAACATACCCTAAACAATGCCTTAGAGAGCAATATTTTGTTTAAAAATATTAAACAGAGCAAACACACACAAAAAAATTACTCACAAGATTTAATTATTGCTAAGTGACCAAAATAAAATATAGGTCTCTTGACAGCAATAAATTCATTTGTCACCTCAGCCCTGTAATGAAAAACTCACACACCAGAAATTCCTTTGGTTAGCAGTTTTGCTTCGTAATAAAGTTTTTACCAAACTGACATTTATTATTATTATATTACAGAACAGCAGCTTCTTATACTGCACTCAAATTGCAACTGCTCATAAGACAAAATGGAGCTCAGTCTTGAAAGTATATTAAGATCCAAAATAGATTTCATTTAAAAAACAGCTCCAGGAAAATAAATAATTTTACTCCATGATGCAGTGGCTGTAAGTGCATTTTTGTCTTCTCAAGGTCAGCCAGTGTTCCATAACTAGAGTTCTCTGGGTCACTGGTAAAATATTGGAAGTTTGATATCCTCAAGCTCAAAGCAAGACAAACAGGTTGGCTGAGGAGCAGGTTCATGCAGGACTGGTTCTTTACTCTTCCAAATAACAAAGCTCATAGCTTTTAGGATTCTCTTGTCCTGTGCTGTTTCAGTGTCTGACAGTTTCCAGTGTGTGCCCATCACATACTAAAGAACCTGGAGAGCACTGAATAACTGCTTTAAAGACTGAACTTTGTTGCTTACTACCTTGTTTCCATTTTACCACTGAGGACACTGCCAGAAACTCCTTGTGCCAGAGATTCAAATTGGATAGTTAAGCTGGAACACATCATTTCCATCTAGACTAACATGTATGAGTTATTAAAAATATGAAGCAGTGGCAATGAGGTCACTGTATTAAATTGTATGTACCTATATATAAAATACATTATTTAGTTCATACATAATCTATGGTCGTACATCCTGTGTTTTTATATCAGGTGGGAAACGTGAGTATTGAGTTTACTTAACCAAGAACTGCCTGAAGCTGGACTACAAAAGACTTATCCCAAGACAAAGATAAGTTCTTCCTGTTCACACCAAGGCTAGCAAAACTGATTTGGGAAGTAGCTTTGGGGTGCTGTAGTGAAAATGGAGCTGAACCACCCAATTCCTTTGAAATCAGCCAGCAAAGCTTCTGGAAGTTTCCCTGATCTGCAGGTGGAATGAAAGCTGGAGCCCTTTCAGCTCCCAGATCCCTCCTGCACCAGAAGTTCTCCACCACTGCCTTGTTGCTTTGAATGACTCCTGCCACACCTGACACTGGTTGGACTCCCACACCTTGGACCCACAGCCAGCTGCCAACAAAACTCATGGAAACAGTTTGCTGCCTATTCTCTGGTTGGATCATTGCAGACCAAACCCACTGAGCTGTTCACAAAATATTTAAATCCAACATCAAAATGCAGGTGAACTTAGAATAATCCTGTGGGACAAACTTTCCTGCTCTTTATCCAGCAGATCCCATGTGACCAGTGATTAGAACACTGCCTCGTTAAAACGGCTGCAAGATCTTTCTAAATTAATCACTTCCTTTCTACGTTTGCTGCATGTCAAAAATGCAATTTATTCTTATTCCATATCTTGTGTTTAGACAGTATTGCAGTGGGCATGAAATATTCATGGCTAATCTCTAGTCACTAATTGTCCTAATCTTTTGTGCATTTATTTTACTCGAGCTAGGCTTTCTGGAGACAGCGAAGCATCCTGCTCTACAGCTGTGGGATGAAATTCAGGACAGGATATTAGATAAACAGGATATTCCAATAAAAACATACACACCTTCCTACAATCATTTGAAAATGGCTGGTTATCCAGAACGAGGAGAAGTTCACATGTAGAACAGTCACACATTTATAGGTTTTTATTCAAACTACAGTAAACTAAAAGATACAGGATATGCTGGGATAGGGATACCTTGAGAACTGTGTCCTGCACAGCTTTGGCTGAGAGTACATTTCTCAGTGAAATTCATTCTAGTTTCACAATAGATGTGGAAGTCAAAGCTGAGATTTCGCTGTTGCCTGTATGGACATTTGCAATAATAAATCACTCTAACATGTAAAATGTGTAGCATTTTTTACCCTTTTAACTCGGCCACATTCTCACCTCAAGCCAAACATTGTGAGTGAGAAGGTTCATGGGGAACTGGTTCTTTACTCTTCCAAATAACAGAACTCCTGCACATTATTGCTCTAAATTTAGTTGATTTCCACACAAATTTATCACACCTCAACTATGTTAACATAAATATGAAATAATAGTAACTAATTAGGCAATGAAGCTTCCTTGATCGCTTGTCTAGCTGCAGTCCTATGGGAAGAGTGCAACGTGAGACTTAGCAGCAAGACTCAAGAGAGAACTCCTCATTCTAAGGCACTCAGACACATGAAAAATAATAAAAAATATATTATAAAGAACTGTATCCTTGTTTTCAGGTGTTCTGAAGTCCCACATCGTCGAAGATGACGATGTTTAATGAGCAATTAAAGATTCAAGTAAGGTGAAGATGCTTCTTGGAACCGTGGGCTGCCTCATCTCTGGTTGATTAATTGCTAAACAAGTAGCTGTGAGCTCAGAGCTCACTAGTGACTAATTCCAAACGTGGGGGTCACAGAAAACCCCCTTTTTTAAACAAAGAAGCTTTGACAGAAGTAATTTTATTTAAACTGGCAAACAATCAGACTCCTGCACTGACTGATTCAAATCAGGCTTATAAAGGTCATATTAGGGTACAGCTCTAAAGTTTTACCACAGCAAATAAAATTTGGAATTTCTCCTATAAAAGGGAAGTCTTGCCTTGCTCAAGTCTTTAGAGTTTAAATTAATTTTTCATTCTATTAACATTCAACATAATAGGATACAATGGTCCCCAAGGCATTCTTCATAATACACTTTGTACAGTGGTTTGCAAATGATCCTACTAGTTAATGGAACTATAAAAATTACTTGCACATAAAGGTCAAGAAAAATAAAGATAAGTATATACTTTCTGACACTGTCCTGTTCAACACTCAGCTAAAGGCCCCTGGAGTAAAGAAAACTTGTCCTAATGCAAGGAATATAATTCCTCCCAGTATAATAGCCCAAGCACTTCAACCTTTGGAATTCCAGACTTTTTATGTCTGCATTTTCCCTCGACCACTTCACTTGAGCAATCCAGCACCTCATTGATCAGTGTGTTATTAGCATTCTTGGCATGAGTTTGACATCAGTTTGTAGTTTGATTCAGCCTGGTAATAAAATGACCTACATCAAAGCCCTGCCAAAATGCCATCTTTGTCGCAATGTGTTTAGCATGAGTTATTTGCCCACATTCAAGGTTACACAGCAACTGCTCCTTATCATGCAATAAAGGCAACAAAAGGGTTCTGTAACAATCCATTTGATGCTTATCACTTACTTTATAATTACAGACTGGGCTTTTTTTAACATATAAGGTCAATCCTCAGGGAAATAGACCTAAAGATTAAACTCTTTTCACACCTGAAATGGCTGCACTGAGGAATGGATGTCAGAGAAATGGATTCTACTGGTGCTTATTCTTTAATTGTTGCCCAGAATTTGAATTCCAATATGATAAATGGTTTGTCTGTGTCTCCTCTCCACAAAGGTGTGAAGTGTCCAGAATGTTGCAATGAGGAGAAGGGCTCAGTGGAGCAGACTGCAGAATATTTCCACTGCAGAGTTCCTTCAGCTACGGGGCACCACAGGGAGTTCATCCCAGACAAAAGCAGGGATGGAGAATTGCTCTGTCTTCCTTGATGCTGCATTTCTCTGTATGGACCCAAATTATGATGTTGCAGGGTTTAACTTTCTTGTTTCACCCTGTGTGACACCCTGCTCATCACATCATCCACCCACTCACTGCTGGCACCCACTGAGCTCCACAGAGGGTGAGGTGCATTTAGGGAAGAGTCTCATCCTAGGGGAACAAGTATGGAGTGATTAACTTGAAAAATTTTCCTTGTCCAAAAATACAACCTGTACATTTATTTCACAAAAGACAGAGTCACAAACAAGCTAATTTGTGCTTGCACTGGAGTGTGGTAACATTTGTGGTGGTCCTTAGAACCTGTGGGAGTTCACAGCTACCGACCCAGCAACTTCCATCTGCCATTGTCCCACTTTGCCGTGCCAGACAAACAAAATCCCTCCCAAACAAAGAGCAGGGTAATTACAAAGTGTGAAGGACCCAGAACAGGAATCAGAAATCACTGCTTGGGCTGTGCTCGCTCCCGGCAGCGCGGGCTGCAGGAGCCGTGCCGGAGCATTCCGTACACGCCGGAGTTTCCTGGGCTCTGTGGGACTCCTGCCCAGGATCATAGAGCAGCCAGGAGGTGACAGAAAGCATAAATAACTGGAGATACATTATGATAATGGAAAACATTGCTACATGGAGATATGGATGCTGCTATGAGACACAATGAGAAATTCGGGCACTCGCCTGGAACTGCACAGAATGAACTGGTTTATTTGGACTGCACACGTGGCACAAGGTCATTGCCTCAAAAGATCTTCTTTTCTCTGTCTTACCTCTGCCCGGTTTTCTTCACTATACACTGATCTTGCCCAAACTGACCAATTTCATTTCTTTTCTGTGAACCAATGGTAAACCTGCATTTTTTCTTTTATGTTGCTGGTATTTTAACTTCAGATTATTTAACCAGTTCACCCCATTCTTGATAGTTGTTGGACTAAACAAAGCAGAAATTTAATGGAAAAGGTGATGTTTTCCTTAAATATTTAATACATGTCCCTAAAATAAAAAATGGCCTGTAGCCATTTTAGCCCATTCCTCCATTCCCTTGTGCCACTTTTAGGGAAAAGAGTGATTTTGTTAGGTGAAATAGCTGTTATCCTATGTCTAGTGGTTTCAGATAATGCAGAGAGGTCAAAGTAGATGAAAAAAGATGAAAAAGATTCTTGCTCCTTATCCATT